TCGCTTTTTATTCCCTACCTATGAACTCCACATAAGCCTTAGAGTAGGAGAAAGGCTAAGATCTTTTGGCCTTGGGGAGGATTTAAACACTATTAAGTGATCGAGTGTACCATTTGAGGAACTAGGCAAGTTTTTCTTTCAAAAATCTTGAAAACCTCTAGGAAGACTTAGCTAAACAAAAGCAAGGAAGAAGTTTCTATCTATGCTATGCTAATCTTGCAACTATCTATGTCAAGATGAAAGCTATGAGCCCAATATGGCTAAGATAGATGATCAATTTCTAGCACTAACTTGCTCAAATCAAGAGGTAGTATTAGTTTGTATATAAGTTTTTGCAGGGCGTTACATTGAAGCAATTCTTGATTCAACATGCTAAACCCGCATCTTTGCAAGGGACGAGCAAAGGGGTATCTTGGGGGAGCTTGTTGATGGTCACTAAACACCCAATTTGACCATCAACATTCCACCCAAATTAAGGAAAAACAACATCACATGTGCCATATTATGTTTATAATTCACCTACTTCTATTTGTAATTGGAAAAATTATTTGTATGCAGAAAAAATCACAAAAATGGACAAATATGAAGCATAGGAGGCAATGGGACATGACAGGGGGGCCGTGGGCCCACATGCCACATCGGTCGATGCCACACCTAGCCTGCCACATCACTGATCCGCGTGATATGCAAGGTGGCACCTCCAGGAGTCATCACCATGCTTGATCCATGTTGGTTTGATCCAAGGATGGACTTTGAGCTCCCATGGATCATCGGGTCCACCGTCATACACTTGGAGGACCAAAACTGGCCTCTAAACCGCCTCACCCACTGGGAAACTGACTTACCTACCATGCAACCGCCATCTAGGAGCGATCTAGCACCCTTAGATGGCAAGGTGATGGGATGGATGGTCCACCGACGCCCCTTGACGTTGTCCGATGGCCAAGTCACCCCAAACCAACTCACCTTCGCCTACAAGTACCCCCATGCCTTCTACACACTATAAAAGGGGCTGTGGTGCTTGGTAGAGATCATCACTCAGCAGCGCTCAAGCATTCCAAGTGTTCTAAGCTCTCAGAAGCTCTCCAATAGTAGTAGCTTAGAAGTAGTAGATAGCTAGTGGTGATAAGAGTAGAGCGGGGCTCACCTCAGAGTCTAGAAGAGTCTTCTGGTCTGGTATAGCTCCTCTTGTAATCTTTCTTTTAGCATTTACTTAATTTAGTACTTTACTTTGTCAAGTACTTTCTCAGTTCAAATTCTATCTTACTATTGTCCATCATTAGTGAGCGTAGGTGCTTGTCCTTTGGCATTTGCATCATTATTACCTTAGTGTTTAGTTCATTCATTGTTAGTACTTGTTTTGTTAGTACTTGTTCTACCGTCTGGTTAGGTTGTTTCGATCTTATTTCACCGGAGCTCGGACCGAAACAACGAGTTTATAGATTAAGCGTGGTGCTTAGGCAATATCTTGCCTATAGATACAGCTAGATCCCCGGATAGATTGTGGTGGTGACAGGTGGTGACAGCCCTATCTTTCCTCAGTATCCCCCCACGTTGGGTCTAGTTATTAAAATGTAGGGTTCATTGTGCTTTGTGTTCGGTTAAATCCAACGCAAGTACGCCCCTCATACTAAGGACGATCTCACTATCATTAAGTTACTTTTGTTGCTTAAGATTACATACTCTACTTGTTACACTCAGCTACACTACACTTCTAGATTACCTCTGTCTATGTGACCAAAACACTTTTTATCCTTTTTCGTCCATCATCCATACTACCCTCATCACTCCCGTGTTGCTAAACCTACCTACCTAGTCTACCTAGCCACATTTCCTAACACACCAAACTGCCTTCCTTTAGGAAAATATAAATTCAACACTTGGTTCTCACCAAGCAAAGTGCTACACGATAGTTATGTGCGCTTGTGGAATCCCCTTTCCTATATACACACAGACGAATCATCAACAAGCATTTCTGGCACCATTGTTGGGGATACAAACCTGGTAGCGACGTTAAGAAGTGTCAACACCCTACACACTTGCAACCGGTCCATCAAGCCAAGTCTTGTCTTGATCTTCTCCACCTTAGTCACATGACTCAATGTCATGTCTCATATACAATGAGCTCCTTCATAACATGTGTGAGCTTTGCAACATATCCAAACCATTTCACCTCCATGGCATGTATTGCTCACACACATGTACCAGTGGACTAATCACCTGTGTATCTCACATAAACACATATTAGTCCACCTAGGCTATCACTCAATTACCAAAACCAAACAAGGAATTTTCAGTGTCTTCGGCCACTGTAGAGCTGGAATCACACTTTACGTGCTCCCCTACCTTGCGCGCCAGCTGTCGTGGGGTCAAAACTGTGGCAAGCATTGTTGTTCATGGTAGTGTTAGAGTGCATGTCTCTAGTGGCTCGGGTGGACTCAAGAACACAAGAATCACAGAGGGGACGTAACGGTTTATCCTAGTTCGGGCAATCGGTGCCCTACGTTCAGTAGCTGATGATCCTTATACTCAAGAGCACCCAAAATCTAGGGGGTTACAACAGAGTGTAAGGGACAACGAGAGAGATTTGGTAGGGGATCGCTCCGTCCTGATCCTAGGGACGCCTCGTCACTGGTGGAGCCTTCCCCCTCGCCGGAGAGGAGGAAGACGACGGGTACGGTGGAGGAGCTCTTGGTGGCCCACTCTAGGTTGCTCTACCCTCGGAGCAGAGCGTGCGTGAAAAGGTGAGGAATCGAATGATCTATCTAGAATCATCCTCCCCCTCATAGCATCCGACCTCCCCCTTATTCTCTAGGTAGGTCGGGAACATGGCGGTTCGGGGGAGTTGAGCCTATGGTCTACATGCGCCGGAGTTCAGGATGGTCTTGCGGCGGTGCCGTGTGGACCGTGGTGATGTCGTAGAGATGAAGAAGCTCTGGATCTCGTACGGTTGCTCTGTTCTGACACGTTGAGTATCAGGCTGTGTCGGCTTGGACTGGCCTCTACCGGGTGCTCCTTCTAGAGGCTTCTTGGTGGCGAAGGAGGCCGGCTCGAGGGGTTGACGCGCGGTCCTGAAAGCCCCCTGAGCCCCTAGAGCCAGCGGAGGAGTTTGTCTTCTTGCGTCACGCCCTCTGCGTGACCCTGTTGGAGGAACGGTTGATAGCGCCAGGGAGCCCCCCCCGAGCCTCGGTGGCTCGGGGCGCACCTTCTCACGCCCGGGCCTCGGCTGGTGCCAAAGGCCGGGAGGGAGCCATGGATCGGGTCTAGGCTTCCGTCGATCAGGAGGCCAAGGTTCGGGCGAGCCCTCGAGCCCCGAGCAGTGGAGGCGGGCGTGCTCGGGCTCGGCCTGATTCCTTGGCCTAAGGGTATGCGCTAGCGTATCCGATGGGTATAGCCCCCGAGCCTCTAGGTGATCCTGGAGGGGTCGGTCGGGGGTCTCTCAGTCAGGAACCTTTGATCCCGAGGCTTAATATACCCCTTTATTTGGATCACGTCACCGACAAACTAAAATATTATTGTTTTGGATTGATTTAATGAATGTCTGCTAATATTACGTTCGTATTAGTCTTTTATGGTGGTAGAGGAGCGCAAAAACTGGCCTAGCAAATAAAGCAGTTTACAGATGGTATTCCTTGGAACCAACAAACTAAAATATTATTATTTTCGATTTATTTAATGAATGTCTGCCAATATTATGTTGGTATTAGTCTTTTATGGTGGTAGGGGAACACAAAAAAGTATCGATAGAACCCACTCCTAGCCAATAAAAAATGCGAGCTTCTCTCTCACGGCCATAGATCTCGTGCTGCGACTCGACGTAGGAGGCCGATCCCGTGCTTCGACTCGGCGGAGGAGGCCATAGATCTGCACCCACTTTGCCACGTCTTCCATCCCACACCACTGCATCTCTCTCCATCACACGCCGCTACTCCTCTCTTGCGCACTTGTTTCTGGAGTGCTTGACCAGCTGGTCTAGCATCCATTGGCAAGGAGAGAGGAGAAAGAGTCCAGCCATAGGAGGGGAGGCCAACGGTTGGGGTAGAAAGAGACTAGACGATTTCTTTATTTATATATATGAGTCCCATTTAGATCTACTGTTGGTCCTATACACTTGATTCGTTTTAACCGGTGATATCTAATCATGATATAGAATCGGGGTTAGATCCATACATTGCGGATGCCCTAAAGGTAAAAAAAAAACCCGTTACATGGCACTGAGTCGCTAATCTCTTGCGGAAGAGCTAAATTCATTGAAGAAAAAAATAAAATCACTGGAATTGTGCGGTGAATATCAGGCAAAATCGGAACAGTGTTGTTGCCAGGTGTGCTCGTCACGTTGCGATGGACATTGACATCGTATAGGACAAGCATATGCTGTGGTCCATGGACGTGTTGCGGTAGCTGGGTGTTCGTTTTCGATTTTCTTGTTTACTTTATGACCCCTCTTCTAGCAACCACAAGTAAAGGCGAATCAATATATTTTGTTGATTTTATGATTAATTGTGGTGTCCAGAGTACCATATGTGCAAGATATATTAGATACCGAATTCACCTATAATAGATTTTTTTTTTAGAAAAATTCACCGATAATAGATGATTCCAGATGCTTTTTGTATGTATATCAACTATGCATATTACCTCCCTCAAAAAAAAACAATGCATATTACCAAGCTAACATAGAGTTAAAATGTCTCTGTCAAGTAACATTTATAGGTTTTTTTTTGTGCTCCAATTCTAAAAATGATTGTCGAGAGATCAAGATAATGTTTCTGTTACGTATTTTTTCCTTGTTGTTCACATGTACCCACGTGTCAGAGTCAGAGACGATCCGGTATAAAGAAGAGCAGAGCCCCCATACCCGGAGCTGCCATGAGGCACGAGCTTCATACTCCACGGCCGAACGATTCAAGTGTGTAGCTACTTAGTCAAGAAAACCGCGCGTGAAGCAAGCAACTAGCACACGTACAGCAGGTCGCCTGAGGACCAGACTTGCTAGCTAGATGATCCCCTACGCGACTGCGGCGGACGGCGAGGCAGCGCTGGGGCGCGCCATGACGTGGGCCGAAGCGGCGTGGTACCAGTACTCGGCGGTGATGCCAGATTCCTGGCTGCACTGCCACACTACATTTATCCTGTTCGTCATCTACACCATCGCCCCGCTGCCCCTCCTGGTCCTCGAGCAGTTCGCTCCGTCCGTCGTCCTGCCGTACAAGCTGCAACCCCGGGTACGGCTAGCCCCGGCAGCCTCCCTCAGCTGCTACATGGACGCGGCCTGCATCTTTCCCCTAGCCGTTGGCCTTCAGTTCGTCTCCTATCCTGCGGTCGCCAAGGTCTTATATATATATCTTTCTACAACACTGTATATATATTCTTTTCTTTCATGCATCAACGTTGACGCATACGTATCTATCACTAATATATATGGAAAAAAATTTGTACTCCCTGGGATTAGTTACTCCCTCCTCTAAACCATGTACGTAAGGGTGCCGCACTCCCTTAGCGGGTCACCAAGTCGAACCCACCAGTCCAAACGGGTCCGTGTTTCTCTGCCCGTTAACCAGCCCTGACTCCTGCTTGATTCATATACTCTCGGTGGGAGTAACTACTCCCAGAAGTATAGAAAACTCACCACATATATATATATATATATATATATATATATATATATATATATATATAAAGGCAGCATGTTAACTTAACCAGCAGATGTTATATATTGTTCTTTGTACTATATAGATGGACATGTTTAAATTTGTGAACAGAACACAGGTCCTCGATCTGCATTTGATGATGCCTATTTGTGTACTTACCAGATATTAAGGACTCGAATGGGGCTGCCGTTGCCGTCGGTCAGGGAGACAATTGCGCAGCTAGTGGTATACTCTCTCGTGGAGGATTACCTCAGCTACTGGATCCACCGTCTTCTGCACACCCAGTGGTGCTACCGAAAGATCCACCGCGTCCACCACGAGTTTACAGCTCCGACAGGCTTTGCCATGTCATATAGCCACTGGGCCGAGAACCTCGTCCTTTCTATCCCCGCCTTGGCCGGCCCAGTGCTCGTGCCATGCCACGTCACCACGCAATGGCTCTGGTTCTCCATCCGCCTAATTGAGGGCATCAACACGCACAGCGGGTGATTACATGCACACTCTACGTGGACACAGTTCGAACGTAAAGCTTCTCAGTTTAGTAATCGTGACAAGTGCTTACAATGTTAATTACGAATGTTGTTGAAATTTGCAGTTACCATTTCCCATTCAGCCCTTGCAGGCTGATTCCATTCTATGGAGGAGCAGCGTACCATGACTATCATCACTACGCAGGAGGCCGTAGTCAAAGCAACTTTGCTCCTCTTTTCACCTACTGTGATTATATATATAGGACAGACAAAGTAAGTACATGCTTGCTTACATATACTAATTATTACTGTGTTAATATATATATATATATATATACACACACACATACATTTGTGAAAACCCCTCTGTTAGGGTGGAATAGTAAAAACCTTCCTAAAACTATATCCACAAGTTCTACAAACCTCAAAACGATCGAAGGTTTGAAAAACAATCCTACTATTATATATATTTAAGACCTAAAGTGTCACATGCAAAAATATGAAGATGAATTACACAAAATGACTTGGTTTGAAAAATTAAGCTTCTACGAAGCCCACATAATCTATGGATAATGTGTTGCTATGTAGTGTCTCCATAAGTTTTATTTCAATATCTCAGTTAAATATCTATTTTAAGTGCAGTAGATCCACAGCTCCCAAAAACAGACCTCCTCTTGAAATATTCAAACAATACTCGTAGTCTTACCACAAGAAATATTTCAACAATTACTAGCAGATAATTAAATCATCTTGTATTCAAAACATATATATACGGAGCACACATATCTGGGCCATACTAGTAAAGGACAACGGTACAAACTAGAGGCGAAACAACAAACGAAAGGCGAAATAGACATATAGGGGTTCACATGTGTGATCCATTTGTTTTCGCCATGCATGCACCAGGTGTCAGCAATATACAGAAAGTAGCATGCGACGCAACAAGCAAGAGATAAAAGAGATAACGATGTGTTACCAAATGAAACAAGGAGACACATAAAAAGTAATAATATTATATGAAAGTTCTTCTCAAAGATAAATGTATGTATATGACTTGTCAAGTAAATCCAAGAATAAGATTTATTATATATGGTCACTCGATCCCAACGTTAGGTGTCTAGATTCATTCCTAAAACGATTTTAAGACTTGTCCAAACTCATTCTTAAAACAACGGTCTTTTTGAGATAGAAGAGGTACGTATTACCAATAGCACTGTGTCCCTCATACTAACTATATATAATAAATTAATTTTTTCAGGGCTACAGATACCACAAGCTAAAGCAAGAGAAGGTATTAGCATATCTTTTACCTATTTGTCTTTTATATAATCATGGTCGTGTTGCGATGTTTATATTTTCTGATATGTAATTACTACGGAACAGCTGAAGAATCTAGCAGAAAATAGTGCGGAGAAAGGAGGCAACTACGCATTCGACAAAGGAAGAAAGGACTGAGATATTTTTGTTTCTGAGCATACGAAGATTATTCTATTATATCACTCGTCCTGTTCGGAGGGAAGATTTGCAAACAAATAATACCAATTTACTGCAGAGGCTCTTCATTGGTCGACGAACAAATAAACAGTTGTTATCTGTTTTGTGTTTTTTTTTTGTGTGTGTCTCTCTCCCCATATATTGTGTAATGTACTGAAGAAAACTGTTGTGTCCAACCTACGTCGCCTAGCTCTACTTTTTGTGGATCATCCCGAATTTCATTAGTACTTTGTAAGCATTCAGCCTGTTCGCTTATCAGTTTCAGCCAGGGCTTATCAGCCAGTCAATAGTGTTTTTTTCTCTCACAACAAACCAGCACCAGCCGGACTTATCAGCCCAGAAACCAACCGAACAGGCCGATTGAATGGCACAGCAGTGTTTAGTGACAGCATTACGGCGTTACGCACCCGCCGGAAAAGTGACACCACCAAATAACTCACTATCTAAGGCTTCCTCGGAACCGCAAGCATCTCTATGAATTGTATACGAATTTTATAGGAACCAATTCATTTTCACATGAAAAATATAGGAAAGAAGAAATTTTCCTCGATTCCAAAGGTGATCTAAAAATGTTTTTTTAATATGGTAGGAATATTTGGCTCAAGCGGTGAGGATTATTTTATCCGTGGATATGTTGTACTCTTTAGGCCTTGTTAGAATGTAGCTGGATTTGTATCAATTCACATGTTTGGAGTAGAACTTGAATTAAATTCCACCTCGATCCACCCCAACACATGTGAATTGAGGTGAATCTGATAATATAGATTGAACTAGCTAGTATATCCATAGATTGCAAAGGGGGACAAACAAACATCCTCTCACACCTTTTGGACAAATTTATAAGAACCACATTTACAAAATCCCTTCATTGATCCATCTCTTGTTGTTACTCTTGGCATCACCAGTAATCTCTACCGGCCAGTGATCAACCTTCTTATAGAGACAGCTACAAGGATGAACTTCACATCCTTGGATAATTTGGGGCTTGCCAGTGGCGAGTGAGAGTACTCCTATGACGGAGAGTGGATGGGAGCTAGGCATGAACACCCTTTTCCCTAGGGGCGTCTGGAGGAAGAGGGGTGGCCATGGTGCTCACAAGCCTCCAAATCACTTTCTCTGCATGCGTACGCTTCACCCTTACAAGAAACACTGTTTGCTTTAATTACTAGAATATCTGTCTCTATTCTACAACTAATAAAAATATTCCAAGAGACTCGTCATGGTGAAGCCCCCTAACAGATTTTCCTTGTTGCAAAACACGAAACCGACACTAGTACAGAGATGCTTTCTACTGGCGGTAATAATTTTAACAATTTCATTAACGTTTCTCGCTACCGCCAACCTGAAAGATGGTGAAAATCGAAGATCTTCACTGGCGTCTGTGGAAATGGATCTTCACATGTCTGTGAAAATCAGCCACGTACTGTAAATCATTTCCACCGGCGGTTAGCTATACCAACTGGCTATGGAAATGGATGTTCACATGCAGTTCCTATGCAAACCTCCTACTGAAATGTTTTTCTGTTTTGGAATTTGATTATGCACTTGTTATTTCTCTTTGTAATGTATGCATTAAAACTATTAAAAAACTTTATTTTTTCTGAGGTCAGTACAAATAAGGTTGTGCAAAAATTTGAGCTGCATATTACTTAAAGGTGTAGTAGAGGTGTGGAAATTTAGAAGTTTGAGCTTGGTTACATCCATTTTATGAACCATGTATACTCCGGCTTTATCAAAATGGCTTGAAACTTTTATGGCAAGCATACACACCACAGAATGGCCTTGTAGAAATATTAGATTTTAATGATTAACTTTAGTCATTATTAAAATTATTTTGTGCTAAAATGAAGAAAAAATATTGAATTACCCCTTCCAAATAATATAATTTTCCATCTACCTCCATCAAAATTGGTTGATTGGGCCATGTGGGACAAAATATAAAAATTTGGTATCATTTGATCGTTTCGGGGTAGCCTCAGTTTAACTTCTAATTACTTTCTATCGTCATGCATAAATTCATTTAAACCGTAGAAAATAGCAAACCATTTGAAAAATTTGAAACCTAGTGTTTTTTTAACTTGTGGTACAGATATGAGGTTGAGATAAAAAATTGAGGTGCATACAACATCAAAATGGATGATTCTTAGCGATTATATTAAGATAACTGTCAGAGTATGTGTATCTACTCTGATGGTTCTTAGGCCTGAGCGCACATATTTTTTTTACTAACGCCTTCTCTTTATGGAGCCGCCTCTGAATAAAATAGTAGGCATCACGAAAAACTGATTCTGTACTAGAGCAACAATCACAAATCGTGCCTAGTTATAGATGGTGTGCCCACGACTGGTGAAACTGCATCTAAAATCTAATCACGACCACACACAAAAAATGCTATTTCCTTTTCTTTTTTTTCCTACAGGTAACTTCTGCTACCACCAGACACATGGTCCTGTTTCGTTCCTGAGGTTGCTATCCAAATCCCTGTCACCTGGATCGCCCGTTTGCTGCTATTCTCCAACTTCTCATCTTCAGCGATATCATCAGGACTACGACACCTCCGGACTGTACGTTCCCCCGCGTCCAACCTGGTACAAATACTTTGAGAAAACAACGCCGCATCACGCATGCATACACGCCCATGGGTACCTACATACGTAGTCTCTTCCATCAAAACTTAGCCTACAAACTTATACAACAGAGTAAGTAATCCCTAGTGTACAGCTCGTTGCATTGGCACCATCACAGTATAATAGCGTCACGTCGTTTTCCACGTCAAGCTAGGTTGTTCCTATTTAAATTGCGCAAAAAATCTAAGCTTGAAGACCAATAAACACCCAATCTCCATGAGATGGTGATCCTAGCTAATAGTTAAATCAGGCAGTTTGTTACTTACCAGTTACCACCTAGCTAAAAATTAGTTGTTCAATGGTCCTCTCCAAAGTACAATAGATTTTTCTTAAATTAGACCATTTTAAGTTTAACCATAGAAAATATTGTACATATTTATGACAACAATTAGTTATACTGTGAAAATAAGTTTCATGATAAATCCATTAATATTTAATTGGTAATATAAACATCATTGTTTTTTTAAATTCTTAGTAAAATGTTCTTACGACAGACTGACGGAACATGAAAATATGTGTGACTAATTGAACCACCAACATTTTATAAAACAGCAACGCCCAGTGTTTAATCTTAGCAAGGTTTTACTCACGAGTTCTGCAAATTTTGAGTTTTTTTTTGCAAGATATGCCAAAAATACGCATCAAATAAAATACATTATACACAAAGCATGCAATTTGGCATAAATGGACGTCAAACAGATTCCAATAATCATAATTCAAAATAATCACTACCATGCAAACGATTTTCTATAGACAATCAAAAACGACTTTTAGGCCCAGTTACCAAAGCCACTATTACGCCATCACTTATAAAGATAAGTTATTTTCAGAGGCTGTTATATTATGATAACTGTCCCTAAAAGTTGATTTTCACAATCGATTTCATTAAGTACATCGTCTCTAAAAATGATTTTAAGGAACAGTTGACTTATTCAACCATCCCTAAAAACGGTTTTTAAACTTTTTTGAAAATCATTTAGAATTAGCAAAAACAAGAAAAATATTTTTCAGTGTGGCCAAAGGCAATTAAAACTCACCACAAATCAGAAGATTTATTTTTTAGTTTATTTTGCACAACTGCACATCCGCAGGGATTAGGACCCATGTCAGCCATCCCAAAAATATTTTGAGACTATTTTGGAAATAGTTTAGAACTAGCAGTAATAAAATAAAAACAAGAAAATATTTTTTTAATGTGGCCTGACCACCAATTACAAGATTTATTTTTTAGTTTATTTTGCATAAATCTGCAAGGATTAGAACCCATGATGTCTCACCTCACACGTACCACCTCCTACCATCATACCACACAATCACTTATGACTACATATATGTTGTTATCCTTTTGTACTAACACAAATGGATCATATAGTCAATATTTTGACTCATAAATGTTCTTAAATGGGAAATTTTTTAACTATAAAGTTTTAGATCTCATCGAGCACTAGAACCTTGATATAGGGTGTGTCTCCATCCAATATCATTTAAAATTTCAAAAAATCTAAACTAAAAATTTCACAACTATAAAGCTTTAGATCTTGTCGACTCTAAAATTTTGATATAAATTTTGTCTTCATTCTTCTTTAGTTTAAAAATTATATATTTATTTATGCTATAACTATTTTAACAGATGTTAATTGAGTCAACTGCCCCCTAGAAATCACCCATCTTTATGGGCAGTTGACATAAGCAATCGTCCATAAAAATCATATTTCCAGGAGCAGTATTCTTAAGCCAACCGCTTCTGAAAAATACATACATTTTCAGGGCCAGCTTACTTAATTGAACCGCCACTAAAAATGTACTTCTAGGACAGTTGTTGTAAGCTACAGTGTATTAGCTAGTTAGAGACTGTTTGCTAAGTAAACTGCCATAGAAAAAGATAGAAGGCGCATGTAAAAATCATTTCTTTAGTTCCGAATCTCACTATGTAGTTCACCATTCTGAAGAGGTTGTCTAGTTGATTAAAAATCGATATATTATTTACTATTTTGACAAGTGACAATAAAGATATTAAATTCACAAAGTTAAAATGAGTTGAGTAGCGCATAGCTTAAAATGTCTGGAAATTGGATCAAATCAAACTTGTTAAAGTGCATGAGCATAACTTTGCTTCTCACTTGATTGGCATACACAAATCTTATTCTTGGATAACTATTCAAATTTCTGGGCAATTCTTGGTTACAAAGGATCTTGCCTAAACTATTGTGAGGTGAGATATAACAAGATAGAAGTATTTCTACCCTTCTTAATTAGGTGTTACTAGGAGAATTTTGTTTTGCGGAAAATTCTAAAACCCTTAGTTTCACATCTTCTCAAAGGTTTATATGTCCT